TGTGTGTGTGTGTGTGTGTGTGTGTGGAGGGGGGGGGGGGGGGGGGGTGTCGGTATTAACAAATATGCAGAAATTGAGGTCATTTATTAGTTTATAATGACGGAAGAAAGCTATGAATATAATTGAAACATTTGGTTCTTTCTTAGGTCTGAAGTTAAACCGTAATACATCAGAAGGAATTTGGATTGGAGCGGTTAAAAATAGCATAGATGAAATTGAAGACAAACGCTGGACAGACAAACCCGTTAAAGCTTTATGCATTAATTTTGGTCACGACAAACACCAATGTGTAAAGTTAAATTGGGAACCTAAAATAGATGATATGAAATCATTAAGTAAAACGTGGGAAAAAAGAAAATTAACAATGGTTGGGAAAATATTGATCATAAAATCTTTAATATTACCAAAATTTACATGTTTGGCTACTTCGTTCAATGTTCCAGATATTTACCTAAAAGAAATTGAAAGCTGCTGTTTCAAATGTATTTTGGAGGGAAAACATGTGAAAGGAAAAAGAAACATACTTATCGGCGAATACCAAAAAGGGGGATTAAGAATGATTAATTTTAACAGTTATTTTTACAGCACTGAAAGCTTCATGGGTCTCAAAATTAGCAACAACCGATCTGCCGAACTGGAAGATTATTCCTACTATATATTGTAACACTCTTGGTAAAAACTTTCTTGTCTTTAACATAAAATCACTAAATGAACTTGGCAACACACCTCATTTTTATTTACAAGTTATTTTAAGTTGGTTGAAAACAAGAGGAGATTTAGCAAAATGTTCTGACCACTTTTCGGGTATCGGAAAACAGATTATTTGGAGAAAAAAATATATTAAAAATCGCTTGATCTTCCCGAACTGGATTAATGTGGATTGGTGTATATTAACGACATATTGGAAAGTGAGGGAAAAATATCCGAAAGATTTATTCTAGAAAAGTTAATTTATAAATCAAACTGGATTGCAGAGTTTAAGGTGTTAAACTCTTGCATTCCAAAAGAATGGCTGCAAATTGAAAAAAGAAAAGAAAACTCCGTTAAGAGTAAAACCAATATATGTAAGAATAAATAAAGATGACGAAATAAACAAATTGAAGCAAAAAATATCAAAACGTACTCTATAATACTTTAGTAGATCAAAAATATACAAAGCCAATCAGTTTTAATATTTGGACAAGATATTTAAACTTCGAATAAACACCACATATGCCATTTGTATACGATTTTATATTTAAAATGTTAATAGAAAACAAGTTGAATTTTTTTCAGATGGAAACTATTTCAGTATATTATTCCTACAGTTACTATTAAGATGGAAAATATCTGAGAATGATAAATGCAATTTTAGTAAAACAGAAGAAGAAGATTACTTGCATTTTTTTTTTTTAATGTTCATTTTTTTTTAAAGTTTTTTGTGAGAAGGTACATTATCTTTTCATTACAATGTATGAACAAAACATATAGTATTTGGATACAAAATATCAGATCAGGGGTATTATGGTTTTAACAATTTATGACAGTTTTATGTTTTGTATTTACTAGTCATATTATGTCTCCGAGCAAAAATTGAAATTCTTAGATGTGTACAATATGTTTATAAAAGAAATACGAAGGGTCATGCATGAGAACAAAACAGTATCTCAAAATGTTTTTTGCATTAATTTAAAAAGACTGATATAATAGAAAAAAAAATATATTTTATTATATTCTGAATATTTTCCTAGATACTCAGAAAGTATTTCACAGGGATACTTTATTGGAGCTTGGTCAGTGAAGTAAACTTGTTTACATTGTGTCATAGATCAAATTTATTTGTTCAGTGTATGTTCAATGGTGTTCATTATTCCTTTGATTGAATTAAGCTATTTCAGTTGATATTTTATAGTGTGTCTTTCTATGTTGTGATGTTACACTATTGTTTCAGAAAAAGGGTGAAGGTTTGGCACCATTAAAACGTTTAAACCCGCTGCATTTGTTTGCACCTGTCCTAAGTCAGGAATCTGATGTTCAGTAGTTGTCGTTTGTTAATGTGTTAATGTGGTTCATAAGTGTTTTTCGTTTCTCGTTTTTTATATAGATTAGACCGTTGGTTTTCCCGTTTGAATGGTTTTACACTAGTAGTTTTTTTAGGCCCTTTATAGCTTACTGTTCGGTGTGAGCCAAGGCTCCGTGTTGAAGACCGTACTGTGACCTATAATGGTTTACTTTTATAAATTTTGACTTGGATGGAGAGTTGTCTCATTGGCACTCATACCACATCTTCTTATATCTATTGTAACAAGCAATCTGAAGAATAAAGAATATTTATTTGTATGTTAAAAAAAATGTTTAGAATGACAACTCATAGGAAAAAGATATTGATGTTTGTCTTTGGGATTGCAATACAGATCTGTAAATATGATTCCATCTTTCACTGAATGAACACATTGAGTTCTTGTCAGTATCATCCCACTACATGTCAATATCGTCGATGAATCGGAACTAAGAGAGAGGTTGATAAAGAATTTGCTGTTCTAATTTTCCCATGAAAGAGGGGCGAAAGATACCACAGGGACATTCAAATTCATAGATCAAACATAAACTGACCACGCCATTGTTAAAGAAGATAAAGACAAACAGAAAAATATTGGCATACGACGTGGCCATCTTTGTTCCCGTTGCTGTTCCATTAACCTGGAGAAAATGTTCACCATTGAATGTGCAGTTATTGCAATCACACCCAAAGTTAGAAGCGGAACTAAACATTTAATTGGTTGGTGAAAGGAGTTGCGAAAGTTCCAGACTTCCTTACAGGCAATACCATCGTCATTGGGGATGTAAGTATAGAGAGAGGTAACATCAAGCGATACAAGGATTGTTTCAGGTGAGGGAGGGTTCAAAGATCCTATTTTCTTAAGATAATGTGTTGTATCTTGTATATGATGGTAGATTGTCTACATGTGGTCTTAAATGAAAGTCAATAAATTCTGATATTTTCTCTGTAGGGTGGTCATTGGCAGAAACAATTGGTCTCCCTGGATTATTGACTTTGTGTGTTTTTGGCAAAAGATAGAAAAGCCCCGGTTTTGATTTTTCATGTTAATGTGTCTTCATCAATATGACACTGTTCACACATGATTATAAAGTTTGTGGTGACCTCGTTGTTGAATTGAGGGGTTGGGTCAGAGTTCAGAGCCCTCGCAAGAAAGATCGTTGACTAATCTCTAGACGTTTTATATACATTATATATATACTTTAGACTTGTTTATATTTTTTCGTTTGGGCTTGTATTATATTTGCCTTCGGGTTTATATGATCCGTTCATCCTATTTTGACTCCTCAAAAATTCAAGAGTCTATCCTAAATTGAGGTAAATTGTATGGCTTTCCAAATACCGTTTCGATTCCTAACATCACTGAAGAGACATTAATTGTTGAAATCCGGATATGGTGTACAAAAACCTTTGCACCTTTTGTGTGCGGTATACCATCTTTTCCGCAAGTTTATTGTTTTCCGTTTAGTATTAAATTTATAATTAAGATCCATTTATTACATCGGTGATCCGTTTATTTGGCAATCGCCAATGGCAGTCAGCAGGGTTTAAGAACATTTGTTGTTCGCCCTGTTAGTCAAATGCGTTTTGTTAAAATATACTTTTTCACTTTTTTGGTCTTTTTGAAAATGTTGTTTGTGCTGTTTTAGACCCCTCTAACAACAAAATTTGTTTTGCATGCACACGTATAAAAATTGCGGTTTTTATCCAACGCAATCATAGGTTTGAACGTTGTTTTCAATTTAGACTTGTATATATATATATATGTATACTAAAATGTTTATGAAACATTGTACATAATTATATAACTAAATTTTGAATAGCAAGAACTGTTTTAAGCCGAAACACCAACTTATGAACCTATGGTTCCTCGGGGATTAATTTTCCAACAGCAGCCGTATCAACACATGTAATTTGCTATAAAAATGGGGGAAAACACTTTACCAATCATACATGCCATGTGTGTTATTCTTAGTTTACCTTTATCATGAACGCTCAAAGCCGAATATTTATAAGCCAAGACTGTATACGTATCAAAACACGAAAAGAGCTATACATCTTGTTATGTGACCAAAATAAATATAGAATAATATTCAAATCTATCTATATAAACTTTGACGGTGTTGTTGGAATCTCGGTTTCCTAGTAATTTATAGTTTAGCTAAACAATGGTATAGAACGGAACTAACTAAATTATTTGAAAACATTTATTCTTTTTTTTAAATATTTTGAATATCTTTAAAATCTCTGAACTTATATTGTTTTTCTCTATTTCAAAAACAATGCACCTTCAATTTCAAATTGCTGAACTTTGCAAGAAAAAACAGCTGCTGCATATTTTAACTGGTTTGTTAGCAGGATCTAGTTACCTTTTCGGATCACCTGAGATGACCTCCAGTTTTTGGTGGGCTTTGTGTTTCTCATTCTTTTTGATTTCTATGTTTCGTTCTGAAATTTGTTGTTTTTGTCTGTTTGTCCTTTCCTTTTTTTTGTCATAGCTTTGTCAGTTTTTGTTTTCTACTTTTAAGTTTGAATGTCCCTTTGTTTCTTTTTCCGTCTGTTTTTACAAATATATCAAATATATCAGGGTTTTACATGTGCATTGATACACCACTTAATTTCAAAAATCAGTGACGTCAGGGGTACCTTTATAAAAAAAACCTCAATACTGGTTTTGATTAGGATTCTTTTAACACCTTTTTATAAAAAAAAATTAGGAACACACGAACCCAAAGCACCTCAAATAAACGAATAACATGAACAAGGCAAATCGATATAAATACAAATGGATTATAAAGGAGTGAGACATTTCTAATCCAAACGAATCTCCACAAAAATGGTAGTGATTTTAAGTACTCTGGGCGGATGAGCAAAAAAAATGTTACATTTTTTAGTATTCATTTTACAAATGATAAAGTATTGTGACTTTTCCTTAGTTTTGAGTTTAATTTCTCTATTTCAGTTCAAAATTTCACAGATCATCATAATGAGATTGGAAGATTTTACCATGTAGAAAATCAAAAGGTAGGATGTTAAGAAAAATGTACACTTTTTAAGTAATACAAATAAGCAAGAACAGGTATTTAGCATTGGAATTAAATAGTTATAGCGTTTAAGATGTGAAATACATGTTTGTTTAAGTAAGTTTTATAGTCAATATAACTGCAGACCTGGTATATTTGTTTACGCTTTTTCCTCTATTTACTGTACCAAATACATATAGTTACTTTGTTTATTCATGGTATAAGCACAATGAAAATATTTTTGAAGCATTTTGTCATCTCTTTGTCTACAGGTCATGTCGTCCGTCTGTCCTTTCATTTGTGTGTCTAAAACTGTAATCATGATGTTAACTTGATTTTGTTCTGGATTCGCTAGAATAAACATGTACAGATGTAATATAAAGGGAAATTAAAGCAGCCTTTTGATTTTGGGGACCACAATTTGGTTAAAGGGTCAAGTTGAAAATCAAAATCACAATTATTGTAGTATCATTCTTTTTGAGTTGATTTTAAGTTGATAAGTTTGGTTTATGGTTAATAATGATGTTTGTATAGATGAAAGATTAATGGAAGAATTTTTTTTTGCTGTGCATGTTATGATTTTGTGTCATGTCATACTTCATATCTTTTCTTTTCTATTGAAAAATAATTGGTATATACATTCTGTTAAAACATATTTCAAAAAGCATTGTTCTATTTGTTGACATAAGCCCCTCTGGACAAACAGGAAACCTGGTTTAGAAAACCCGATCCAAGTTTCTCATAGAGGGATTAATAATTTTAATAGCAACCTCTATTTTTTTTTTTCAGGGACCCCTTATTCCAGATTAAAAGGTTGATTAAACCTCAGGAAATTAAACATCTTTTGGTAGAGACTCCTTTCCAAATGTTTCAATTGTGAATGAAATCTCTTCAAATTAAACATCTGTTTTATTTTTTGCATTGTTTAAATACAACATGTGGAGCAGAATTTGCTTATCCTTCCGGAGTACCTAAGATCATCCCCAGTTTTTGGCGAAGTTCATGTTGCGCAGTCTTTATTGTCCGTTGATATATACATACCTTGCAAGTGAGCTATGGTCAGCGGAACCCCTGCCTTGATTCCTCTCTTAATTGTCCAGGTTTGTTAGTTTGTTTTCCTGCTTAAAGTCGGTGATTCTCTCCGGGCACTCCGACTTCCTTAACCTGACCGCCACAAAACAGTTAATAGTGTTGAAGGTAGCTTTAAGCACCAATAAATCAATTGATCGACTGCCTTTTTTTTTTCGAATGTTTAGCTTAACAACATTGTTATATATATTGAGATTCTAGAGAGAGTATTGTTAACAGTGTTGGTATCCAGATACATACTTCACTTTAAATACTCCCTGCACATGTCACTTTTTGTGGTTCCCTATATTAGTCGTATTGATTTTTTATAATAGTTCTAGTATAAGATTATGAACATTTGTAAAAATGTTTTACATAAGATGAATTTACAATTCTAGTACAAATTTTATGAGAGCATTCAAGCATACTAACTTGTATGTTGAACAATTTAAATAAGAATGTTTTCCATCAATAAATTTAATTTTAAGATTGTCCCAAAAAAATTTTTTTTGTGGTTTATCAAGTTTGTATTTAATTTTTGAATAGCTATTAGTTATGATTACACTACATAACTAAAATGAGGTGGTCTTTGTTTCAGTTTTTTGGAATTCAAAAGCCCGTTAAATGCTACATTTGTAATGGAATAATACGGGAAAACAGGGTAAGTTTTTAAGATAAAATTTATATATTACACTTGTATTGCCCTTGCGTCTAGAGAAATGTTACTTTTCTAGAGTAACAAAATCTTTATTTCGAACTCACACAAACCACTAGATGTTTTAGTTCACTACTTACTTTGATTTTCATAAAATAGATTATTCAGATACATGCAAATCATCGAACACTTGATTTCACGTTTACGTAGCATACATAGTATAATTAATAATTGAATTTTACCATATGTCTTTTTTCTTTTAATCATGCTTCAAATCAGTAGTAACTTGCAGTTGATAAAAAAATCTTATTTACCCTTATGTAAAACGATTGCCAATGAGACAACTTTCAATCTGATAACAAATAGAGTTTAACAACTATTAGTCACATTACGGCTTTCAGCTATGAGTGAAACTCATACTGACATAGTCAGCTATAAATTGGCTTTGAAATGACAACACTTACTATAAAACAAGTCCAACGAGAAAACTAAAGGCTTGATTTATATGAAGAAAAAAAAACGAACGAAAAACAAATATGATATACATTGTGTACATCAACAAACGACACCAACTAAATAACAGACTCATGACTTGGGAAAGGCACATACAGAATTTGACGTGGGTTAAACATGTAATGTTTTACATTTTATGCAATACAAGTTAGTACCGTTGATGTTATCCATTCGATGTAGTATATAAAATTAGCCTGTATGTATGATGCTACTGAAATACCGAAGTATTCAAAATGCTTTAATTTATTTGGATAATGCAAATGTTAGTAGAAAATAAACGTTATCGGAAAGTCTGAATAAAGATACAATTTCTTACAGCCCATGGTTTTGATTGAAATTAATACGTTCAATTATGATCATCAATCTCTTGTATACCTTGTGTCAAAACAGATAGATAACAAAATTGGGGATATACAGGTTTTAAGGCCACCAAACTTTGCATTGAGGTTGTAACTTGTCAAGAAATCATTATTTGTAAGTTCCGTGTTCCTTTCTTGGTGAAACCAAGCTTGTGTGGTAACAATTGTTTACGGGCTTTCATTTACAAAAAAGGACGATTTTTTGTTCTCTATTGTTAATTTTCTTTTTTTGGATGGTGATGTTCCTTTGGCACCTTCTTACGGTGTTTATATCATGTATATATCACAATGTGTTTGCTATGGCTGTGTCTGTTGTGACGTTTTAGATTTTAACGAACGTAATCTATGTATAACCAGTAAATTATTAAGTCAAGAATTCCGTTACCACAAATTACTTAAACCTTTACTAAATTCTCCCATAGATACAAAAAAAATTTGACGATTTGTTGTTCATGTAGAAACCCTATTTCAAACGGGATAGCACATCCTCATTTTTACGGAGATGTTGTTTACCGAGCCCGGAAATTTAGAAACGATCCGGATAAACTTGTGGATCCTTTTAATAAACTCATTCTAAAAGATTAACTCGCGGACACTGACAGCTAGTTTAAAGTAAAAAACAACTAAAATAAAAATCTTGCATCTAAAACTTAGATATCAATCAGTAGACATGCAACTTCCAATGGATTTAGTTTAAAGATGTCATAAACAGTCAGAGAACAACACGACCTTGTGTATTGCCGAGATACAAGTATAGACAGATTGTAGAGACATGCATGTGCATATACATATAAACATAATACTCAGTTTGATTTTTATTTATTGATAACAAAATCCATACTAATCCCAATATAATTAATATTCAAATACTGTTGAATAGGTAACCTTTTAGAAGAAGTTTATTTTAAGGATCGATAAGTTTACCCAGATCATTTCTAAATATCGGAGCTATCCATAAATAAAATATGGATGTGCTATTCAAAACCAAAATTTCAATATCTATGGACAAATTAATAAAGGTTTTAAGTAATTTATGGTAACAAAATCCTTTAATTAATAATTTACCAGTTTTACACTATTTCTTCAAACGTAACCTTCAAATGATATCACACTGAATTAGCTTTTATTCTCAGTTATAGGTACAAGTGTATGGCCACCGAATGCATATCTGGTTCGGTTTTAATATTTTGTTTGTCATCTAGAATTATTAAATTTAATGAAATTCTTTAGCAAAAATGGCGGTACAAGGAGGCACGAGTATAGATTGTTTCGGTATGCTGCACATTGAAATGGATAAAAAGACCAGCCGCCAGTTACAATGTCAAATTTTGTCGGCTACCGATCTAGTCGGGCTCAACATTTGATAGACACTTGATATTCTACAACATGTTCATGCAAATAATATAATTGTCGTTTGATTCCTGTCATTATTCCTTCAAAATCAAATTCTTTACAATTAGTTGACCTACCTACCGTATTTTTTATTACATTTATCAATCTAAATAATTTATACTTCTCAATAACAAATAGGTATGCATATACAATGTTTAACACTTTCTCTGTCATTCTACATAACTATACGACGCTTTAAAATGTTTTATTGGCAGTTGATGAATTTCAGATATAGACCTATTACCTTCAGGAAGATGTAGTGATTAATTCTGAACTTTTTTTCAGTTAACGCTAGGTATAAGCATGTCTTATCATTCTAACTGCTTCAGATGTTGTACATGCAATAAATGTCTGGACGGTAAACCATTTACGCTGTTTGAAGGCGATGTATATTGTATCGACGATTTTTTTAGGTAAGAATCCATAAGTAGATTTACAATTTTAAAAACATTACAATAAAAGAAGATTTCTAAACAATCAAAATTACGAACCTTCGACGTTGACAGCCTTAAGATTCAATTAACATTATTACATACCCATTTACATGGTATTTGCATATTATTATCATCCCTGATATCTTAAATTTCCTCAACCCTGTGACTATCGCGGAAGTCGTATTGTCTCTGGATAGCTTGTCGATTCAAAACAAATCATTTAATTTCATTTGTCTAATAAATGTCACATTTCTAGATTGTTTTGAACTATTTTCTTTTTATATTCTATTTATAAAACAATTAGTGCAAAATTAGTTGATGGACATCCAGGCTTTGAGTTTGTAGGAAGTGCTTTCCCGAAGTTAGTTAGAAGATCATAATTGCATAAGGCCATCATTCCTAATTTATCGTTTTTTAGAACAAAATCTTTGTTTAATATATTAATTAATATACAGTTTGTTTGAGTCAAATGAATTCAAATTCGAGATCTGAAATGTTGACAACGAAATGAATATTGAAATATTGTGTATTATACAAATATTATCGACTTATAAGCCAGGTAATTCGTATATTAGGAGTAAATGAATTGACTCAGGCAACAGCTGGTTAGGCGTTTAAATCACAGTTTTATTCAATATATTCATGAGTCAAATGAAAGAAGAAGTAGTTCATCTGAGTGACAAGTATTTTAATAATGCCATTGTATGTTCCAATTAGATGTGGTCATAACATTAACAGACATATTTATCAGATAAGGGCTATTTGATCATGGCAACATTTCGTTGTTCAATGACTAACTGAAAATGAAAAGAGAGGCGAAAGATACCGAAGGGACATTTGTTAAACTCGTAAGTAGAAAATATACTGACAACGACTTTACCAAAAGGAAAAGGACCAAAGACAAAAAACATTATACAAAACACAGAACATATAAAATTGATGACTGAGCAACACCAACCTCACCAAAATATCCGGTGTGGTCTCATGTGTTCCAGAAGAATAAACAGATCCTGATTCACATTGTACATCCGTCGTGTTTATCATGAATGTACCAGTTCGGTGGTAAATCTCATTTGGTAGGTCACATTTGGAGGAAAGAAGACGGGATAAACGGTATTATCTTACGAGATTTTTTAAACGTTAAACCTTTTTATTTTCATAAACAATGCTATTATGTCTGGATAAGGTGAATTTCTAATTGTCAAGCAAAAGGTTAACTAGACAATTATATGTTGAATCTAAAAATTTGTCGCGTACATATCCTCCTTACATAGTTCGTTTTGGCCTCTTCATTGTTATAACGGATCAACTTGAAACGTTATGTGTATGTCACCCTTCTTGCTTCTGTGTGTAATATCTCAATTATATTCAGTTAAGTGTACAGAAACGTGAATGGGCATAAGGCGTGAATTTCTTCATGATTTAATTGATCAACTTGAAGCTTGAGATCATCCCTAGATTTTAGCGTGGGTTGTGTTACTCAATCGTATGTTTTCTATATAATATTTTGTATTCTATTGTTTGTCTTTTGATCGTTTTATGTTTTTGCCACAGTATTGTCAGTTTGTTTTCATTTATGAGTTTAAATATCTCTTTGGTAACGTTCGCCTCTTTTTCTTACGCTACTAAGTGTTATTAGTCAATTATGTGTTGTGTTTAGAAAGGTTATTAGGTGGACAATTCAAATTTATACGGTTCATATAGCAACAAACCTTTCATTATTTAACGTCATTTTTTTCTTTTTCGATCCGTTTCATTACAATGTATTATAATTGAATGATTCTTTGCTTTCAATGCCAATTTTACAGGTTTCAACTAACATTGATCTTATTTTCTGGTTAATTTGTGAACGGTCATTTTGCAGGACGATGTCATTTTCTCAATTGTAATAGGTTGTATACCAATATTTTTTCGGTCAATCACATCAAACATAGTTTTGTTTTGAATCAACCGCAACTAATGTGACCTTTGTAGCCGAATCGCTCGTTTCCTTTACCAAACTATTAGCCTGGTACCTTTTATGTGTTAAGCTCATCTTGGCCTTATTTCAATGATTAAAGGAGGTTTTTCTATATATAAACTATGCAAATTTTAGTTTCATTACATGTCAGACCACCATTTCAAAATCGTATTCTATTCAACCAAAGTTTGCAATATTCACAGCTTTCTAAATATTTAACCTTAAGTTTAACTTCATCGAAACCAGATATATCCAGAACTGTACATATATCACCTTTCCACACGCCAATTTTGAAACATCGTTTAAAGTCTAATAGCGAGTTACTAACCTTCAGAAAACAAGTACTAAAAAAACTCATCCTTGGTTTTATGGAAAAAAGTATACAAAGGAGCGCATTATTCCTTAATTTATAATGCAAACTCATGGACTTGAAATTTTTGACTCCAAAAGGTCTGCATATATTTCTCTTTCAACAAAAGTTTCATTTCTGTACATTTGTTGATTAGTTTAAGTGATCAATGACACCAAAAGCACTATTTTTTGTAAGGGAAGGTTTTTTTGTACATACGTTCTAAATTGGATTTCGGTGAATTGATGGTCTGATACCATTAGTGTACCAAAAAAATATAAGAGACCATGCAAGAAATAAAACTTATAACGGTATTAATAACAGATTATTAAAACAAAAGATAAGCTCAAAAAACAATAATAAAAAATAATGAATAAAGGAACTGAAACAAATATCTGACTGACATGATCCATATGGACTTTGAAGATTTGTGTTGTTAATAAATTAACAGTGGGTTTTGACATATCAGTTAATATCGCTTGAAGGGCAACTGTGCATGTTGTAGATAAATCAGAGTAAGATATACCTTCAGGTGTGATGGGGTGCATTTGACTATGACCTAAATGTAATTTATTATATACCTAGAGCAAATAACTTACAATTTTTACAGTATGATAATAGCACTAAATTGACGTGAATTCCATATTTCCGGAAATAGTGTTTAGCGAACTAATATGAAAAATTTATCACATGCCTCCAGCTATCACATGCCTTTCCGTAACGTTATCACATTGCTTTCCGGAGTTACTCGGCAAATTTCGTAAAATACATCTCAATAGTACTATTTCAGACGTGAAATACATAACAAAGTAGGATACAAAACAATTATTGGGCAACAGGAAAATGTACTAAATATTCAAAATCAAAAAACAAAATAATGATCAAATAAATGGATTTTTCAAAGTTTCAAGCATAAATTGGAAAGTTACTTTACAAATGATGTCTTTTCAAAAGAGTGTACATAATGTTTTTTTTTTTATTGTCAATATAAAAATTTATCCCCGGCTTAGTATATTTCTAGGATTTTGGTTGGTTTACGCACGTCGTTACACAACACATAGCCCATGATTATTGCTAATCAATATACTTGTACGTTGCTACCCATTACATTGGGGAACTTCACGCGCGTTTCCCTTAGTTTCATCGTTGTTCCTTGTGAAATATTGAGTTCTATAGTTTATCCATGATGTCTGAAATTTAAAATATTTAATCCACCAACGATTTTATCTTATCATTATTATGTCGATAAATTGCACTCATTTTAGTAAACTCACTCATACTGATGAATGGGACCACTGACCTAGCTATGCAAACGACCCACGTTGACGTTACACCGTCTATGATGTAACTCTCACAACACTGAGCGCTAAATTCGACCATTTCACGTTTCTCTGTCTCTGGATTAAAAACTTCTTATATGTGACTACCTGTAGGGTTTTTCCAAAGGTAGTACCCTACATCGTTTGTACATCCCGTTAAAAATATATCAAATTCACAAATTTCAATAAAATTCTTTTAGATAATAAATAAACGTTGCTTTCACGTTACACTTTGTGGTCGTATTTCTCTATAATTCGCCAGACTTAGACTAAGACCGGGGATACATTCGCTATCTACGTTCATATACGTATATGGATAAAAACGTAGATAACTTATAATATTATACTGTTGTTTTTCGCCTCTGTTGATGCATATGATAGAAAGATTTCATATTGAATGTATTACATTTGACATCCGACGTCTGTAAACTTTTCACTCTTTGAACTTCTACGTATACTTGAGAACCACTTTAAAGGATATTACACTGTTATTTTTCTCCATTGTTTTAGCATATGATGAAAAAATCATAACATGTCATTTTTTATATCAGATGTATTATCAGCCCACGGTCAGTATCAGCCCTCGAGCCTTCGGCTCTTGGGCTGATAATATATCTGATAAGAAAAATGCCACGTTATAATCTGATAATTTCATTAATCACCGGTTGTCAGAATGACTCTTGTGTATTCATGGTCTATACATTGCGTTGGTAGGTAAATGTATTGTCCGAATTTGATAAATCGAAATCGATAAAGCACACAGAACATTTCTGTATGACAACTCTTGAACAGCATGAACAATGTTACAGTAGAATGTTCAAATGTTATTTGAATGTTATGAACAAATAATTAAATCGGTCAGATATAAATCCAAGCTTCGTATGTACTAATAGCCTAAATTATAATGCATTCTCTATTGATTTTCCTTCAAGTTTGTACTTTCAGAATAGTTCAATATCGAAACTGTTATAAATGTGTTTGAAACGATCTATCAAAAGGAAATCTTACGCATTTAACACACTTTATTCTTTTTTGTAGAAATTTTCCTTTAAAATCTGTTTTCTGTGGACAAGGTTCAAAGCTACTACAGGTAACTTATAAAAGACTAAATTGCCATGGTCAATGTAATTTCATTGCTACTTAACACTCATCATTTTCGTAGAAAATAGATAAATGAACTCATCAAAGATACCAGGATTGACATTTTATATTTTCGCCAGACGCGCGTTTCGTCTAAAAAAGACTCATCAGTGACGCTCGAATAAAAAGATGTTAAAAGGGCCAAATAAAGTACGCAGTTGAAGCACTTTAAGGACCATACTTTCCTAAAGGTTTTGTGAAATACAGCTAAGGTAATTTATTCCTGAGGTAGAAAAGCCTTTATTAGTATTTCAAAATTCTAAATTTTGTAAACAGTTAATTTATAATTATGAACACAAGTCAACACAAAAGTGCTGACTACTGTGCTGGTGATACCCTCGGGGAATTAAAACTCCACCAGCAGTGGCATCGACCCGGTGGTTGTAAATAAACTCATTATAGATACCAGGATTGAAATTTTATATTTGCGCTAGTCTACAAAAGACTCATCAATGATGCTCGAATAAAAAAATGTTTAAAAGGCCAAATAAAGTTAAAGTACGAAGTTGAAGAGCATCAAGGACCAAAATTTCCAAAAAGTTTTGCCAAAAACAGCTAAGGTAATATATTCCTGAGGTAGAAGAGCCTTAGTATTTCAAAAATTCAAAGTTTTGTAAACAGTTAATTTATAATTATGAACATATCAATGATAACTCAAGTCAACACAGAAGTGCTGACCACTGAGCTGGTGATACCCTCGGGGAATTAAAACTCCACCAGCATTTGCATCGACCCAGTGGTTGTAAATTGACTCATCAAAGATACCAGGATTGAAATTTTATATTTGCGCAAGATGCACGTTTCGTCTACAAAAAGCTCTACAGTGACGCTCGAATAAAAAAATGTTAAAAAGGCCAAATAAAGTACGAAGTTGAGGAGCATTAAGGACCAAAACTCCTAAAAGTTTTGCCAAACACAGCTAAGGTAATCTATTCCTGAGGTAGAAAAGCCTTTGTATTTCAAAAATTCAAAGTTTTGTTAACAGTTGATTTATAATTATGAACATATCAATGATAACTCAAGTCAACACAGAAGTGCTGACTACTGGGCTGGTGATACCCTCGGGGAATTAAAACTCCACCAGCATTGGCATCGACCCAGTGGTTGTTAATAAACTCATCATAGATATAAGGATTGAAATTTTATATTTGCGCCAGACGCTCGTTTCGTCTACAAAAGACTCATCAGTGACACTCGAATTAAAAAATGTAAAAAAAGCCAAATAAAGTACGTAGTTGAAGAGCATTAAGGACCAAAATTCCCTAAATGTTTTGCCAAATACAGCTATATTTACAAGGGAATATCCCCGTTCTTTTATTCGTACCTCTTTGGTAATTGTTTTTGTCTATCTATTTATTCCAAAACTGTTTCTGAATTTATGCAGTTCCATTTATTATCTTTTTGTAATTTTACGTCTACTCTAAATGACCGCAGCAAATTGGAAATGAGATTTACGTTCATATTTCATGAATTTGACTACCCTTAAAATTAAAAAAAAAGCCGATACAAATGTCAAGCTTACACACATAAATATATCTGCACCGTTATTTTGGGCTATGAGTCCATATGCATACCGTGCACACAGTAGCCGAGCTTCAAACATTATGCATAATTGCAAGGTTTATAAAGCTTAAAACAAATGGAAGAGAAGATGCTCGAAGAGTGTTTCCTATCTTGATGTTTTCTTCATATGCAATATATATCTACTGATTAAGTTGCAAAAATTCAAATATTTAAAAGTGCAACGCTATCGATGGTATGGGTGATTAACGAATTTAATTTTGATTGATAAGATAAATTCACTAAACAATCATTGTAAGTAACAAGTGCATGTCTCTCACTGATCTTAGAAACCTGTTTCCCCTGAAAAATTCACATTTAAGACTAACAAATCCGTATATACTTGCGTTATTTAATGGTATGCGATAGAAATAACATAAATAATGCAAAAACAGATCATTAAGCCGTTATCGGTTTTTGTATTGTATCTTTACTGTGTTGTACACTGATGATGTCTTTTATATGAACATTTACTTTTTGTCACAGTGTGACAGTTTGCACTGGTATATCTAAATAATGTGTTTTTTTTTATACCAACAGAGAAGGAACCGTCGAGCTGTAAAAAACATCAATGCACTGAACAGGGAAGACATTGGTATTATAAATGATATTCGACCAACGGTAAGTGTAATTAGAATAAAGATACTTTGTTAAATGTCGGATTAAAAACTTTGTGGGTTTTCCTCTATTAATAATAAGAAAAATAGTATATCAAATCAGCAAAGAAGTCTCTAAGAAATCTGCGATCCTTTGTTTTCTTTTAACCACAGAGAAGGGAAAGGTTAATCAAAACAAATACACACACCAACTTCTTCATGGAGACCTTATAGTTATACAGAGATAAACATGTATTCATGCAATGAACAGTTATTCTAACAACACAGAATACTAGTCTAGGTTAGCTGCATTGAATGTGTCTTGGTAGCGTGTTTGACTCGAGTGCGAGAGGTTGTTATTTCGGGCCCGGCAAGGTCAAATCAAAGACTCTATGATTAACAGTAGCTATTTCTCCTCTTTGCACGCGGAAATAAGGATTAAGAGCAAAGACTGGTAGGCTCTAAGTCATAATACTATGTTTGGGTAGGGGGACATGTCTTCCTGCAGATTGTTACCTTGTAAACAAGCAGATTTGAATTCCGGCTCAGCATGTCAATCTAGTGCAAGGCAGGGTTAATATTCATTATGGACTCACATGTTTGGTCTTGATATGCATTTGAAAAATCTGGCATTGAGAAATGCTTACAAATCTACTATAAATACATCAAATTCTTTCAGTGGACTTGTGTAACAGTAATTGCTTGTAATCATGATTTGTTCACCAACTTGAAGTGTTAATTTCTTGACGGGAAAAACCGACAGAAAGTCAAAGCGTTGTACATTGATGCTGACTATTATATGAAAATTTCCTTTTTGTCACAGTACAGGTCTGACAGTTTGCTCTGGTATACCTAAGTATTGTTGTTTTTATATCAACAGAGAAAGAACAGTCAATCTGTAAAAAACAACAATGCACTGAAAAGGGAAGACATTGGTACTATAAATGATATTAGACCAACTGCAAGTATAATTAGAATAAAGATACTATGTTAACTTCCGGAATAAAAACTTTTTGGGTTTTCCTCTTTCAATTATAGAAAAATTGATATATCAACATGAACATGAGCAAAGAAGTCTCTAAAAATCTACGATCATTTGTTTTCTTTTTACAACAGAAAAGAGAAAGGTTAATAAAAAAAAATACACACACCAACTTCTTCATGGAAATCTTATATTTATACAGAGATAAACATGTATTCATACAATGAACAGTTAATCTAACAACACAGAATACTACTCTAGGTTAGCTGCATTGATGGTGTCTAGGTAGCGTGTTTGACCCGAGAGCGGGAGGTTGTGATGTCTGCCCCGGCAAGGCCAAATCTAAGATTTTAAGATTGACAATAGCTACTTCTCCTCCTTGCACGCGGCAATAACGATAAAGAGCAAAGATTGATAGGCTCGGAGTCATTATACAATGTTCGGGTAGGAGGGGCATGTCTTCCTGCAGATTGTTACCTTGTAAACTAGCAGGTTTAAAATCCGGCTAAGAGTGTCCATCTAGTGCAAGGCAGGGACAATTTTCATTATGGATTAACATGTTTGGTCTTGATATGCATTTGAAAAACCTGGCATTGAGAAATGCTTACAAATCTACTATAAATACATCAAATTCATTCAGTGGACTTGTGTAACAGTAATTGCCTGTAATCGTGATTTGTTCACCAAATTGAAGTGTTAATTTCTTGACGGGAAAACTGACAGAAAATCAAATAGGACTGATTGATTGATAGATGGTTATTTGAATGTCTGTTGGTGAACGTTTAAAAGAACATTTGTAACTTGTCTTCTTCTTTCAAATTCTAGCTGATTTTTGCGTTGATCAACATTATAACCCAGAAGCTGTATATGTGTTACTAAACATTCGAATTATTGGTCAAATGAAACATCTTTGGATCACAAAAGAGATCAAAATAAAACTGAAAATGCCATCCCTTGATATACATTCATCAGGCTTATGAACCCTTTGTTATCGTGTTCAGTTTATGTTTTAGTCGAGAGCAGTTAAAAGAAGCACCAATTCGAGATGTTCAGCTTCTGCTAATGGAAAACCATTAAATCCCATACCCTCAGACAGTCCTAATAAAAGTAAGTTATTATCTATAGTATAATACATCATGTAAAATGTTATAACTTGATGTAATTGTAACAGTCAACGGCGAAATACTCTAAAACAAGACAAGAGCCCCAAAGAAACAATTCGTAATGCATAATTTTTTTTCTGTGGAAAAAATGCAAAATACTGCCATACAAATATACTGAAGGTTCATGAAAAATACACATTTATCTCAGTCCATTGACAAAAACCATTGGCACATTTTATAAACCAATATATTTTCCTTCATGTGTTTAAATGATTTAAAGGGGCACTAGCTGTCAAATTCATGTTCATCGATTTGACTCAAATTCAAACTATAAATTCAGTTCCAATTAAAGTTCTAAGGGGAAATATCGTTGTTATTTATGTAAACGTATCATTTACGTCTACATATATGACAACTTAACGACAACATTTCTGTCTCCACTAATTTATTAAATTTTTGTCTGAAATTTACCACAACTTTTTCTGACCTACAAATGTTGGCAAACTAGACTCAAAAAAGGATATTTTTCGTCAGTTCCGTAATACTTTTCCTTATTAGCTTTATCTACCGTTATAATGCAGTATATGATGTATTTTGGCAAATAGATAATATATCGAAGAGATCAGCTGTTTTTGTTTACTGTGAATGATGATGATTTATTTACCATGAAGTCACATTAACTATTTTTTCAATTATATTTCTAAATATGCGACAGAATTTTGCTAACGCTTTTTTTATTTTCAGGTTCGATTAGGTTTATGGTTGGAAAAAGAATGCAATCTAGCAGCTTTGTAATGTTCTCTGATGATAGACCTGGTACCACTAGCTCACAGAAAATGATCGGAAATGTAGATAACAACTGCTCACATCTATAACCCATTTGTTTAAAACTGTTAACGGGAATGGTTGTCATTTTAAAACTTCTTACTAGGCATAAGTTTATACATCAATATATAAGTATAATAGTTATCATGAGGATCATGTGTGATGAATAACGATTAGAAGGACAACTTGTTAATGTGTGTTTATGTATGATTGATTATAGAAAGACAATTGGAAGCAACGTTTTTGTGCAAATATTAAATGGGAAGACCAAACAATAGATTTTAGCCCCGTCACATATGCATGTGCCTGTCAAAAGTCTAGAACAAAATAAGTGTATGGCTTGTGTCACATCTTTATATATCCTTAATTGAAAACCATGCAACATACGCAATAAACCCAAGTTTGTTTTATAATACCTTCTTATATATGAGATCTAATTATGAATTTACTAATGGGTATCAATACCTATGGATATTTTCTGGTGTTCAACAAATTTCTTATACGTGCTACTGCACATATTTTATACCATGGCCATATGATGAAACACAAGCCTGTCAAAAACCGTTATAACCTTTCCATCGTTTAGCACATAGCTTCTGAGTATGCAAACGGTACGATAACTGCTCTATCTTTTCTAAAAACAAATTCAAGTAACCCGTTTTTGTTTTCACTATCTTTATGTATGTTCAATACAAGAGTTTAATTTGTTTTAGTACAGGAGACAGCTTTCGCCATTATCAAAATCCAAATCATCGAAGTCCCAGTTGCAAGAATTCGGAGTACAGAATAAAAAAAGAGGTTTGAATAATATTTAGTGTTTTTGCATTTAATCATGATAATATATGTAATAAAATTCGAATTTTTCAAAATACTAAGGATTTTCTACCCAAGGAATAGGGCAGTTGTAGTTGGCAAAACCTTTCGGAATCCTAAATGCTTTACATCTCTCTATTGTATTTGATCTTTTAAACTTGTTTTATTCGAGCGTCAGTAGTGGGTCGTTTGTATACAGAACTCTCGCCTGACGTACACATGTTTAGTCTTGGTATCTATAATGAGTTTCTTGACATATAAATACATCTGCCTATTGCTGAAAAAAAATGTATGAATACTGTCTGGGGTATCATTTTGTAGGTTTTTAATGTCGTTTGGATGGCGATGGAGTGAAACATTCCTCGTATCATGTTATTCATATCTAATCACACAAGTCCAATAAATATCAAAGGAAACTTTCAGATGGAATCAATAGATTGTCTGCATATCTTTGCCATCCAATAGGCTTAAAACCAAAGAGAAAGAGAAAGGTTAAAAAGCCAAATGTGCAATGTTTAATGCTATAAAATCGAATACAAGTGTATGCATTATTACTATAACACTTGCATTCTTCAGGAATATATTACCTTAGCTGTATTTGTCAAAACCTTTAGAAATTTTGGTCCCCAATGCTCTTCAACTTCGTACTTTTTTTGGCCTTTTTAACTTTTTTTCTATTCGAGCGTCACTGATGAGTCTTATGTAGAAAAAATAAACGTCTGGCGTCAAAACAAAATTTCAATCCTTGTATTCATGATGAGTTTATTGTAAAACATTAGTATGTACACAAAATTGCAAATGTTTTATCTGAAACGAGATGATAAAATAAATCAAATATGAGATAATATAACATGTAAGTTGCCTAGTGATGATTTAAAAATCACCTAACAGAGATTTCAAATAAAATGACATACGTGCGAAACTCGACGAATGGGCCTAATGGGGCTGGTTATTGACAATCATAGAATTTAATTGAATACATCGCCCAAGTGTATACGAAAATTTCCAAGAGTTTTGAAATCACACACAGGAATTTTGGTCCATATAAAACCATTTTTTCATGACGAAAAATGATAGGAATCTTGCATTTATCACAGGGTTCTACAGATTCCCGCCTTTTTTTCACTGACATAAGACCAAGTCTAAAAACACGTATCCCATACCTTTTATACGATCGATTTGAGTTATCTTTTATTGTGTTTGAAAATGACAATCATTTCTTAATATTTTTTGCAGAAGACCCTTTATGCCTCTTTTTCGTTATCCGATGTTTTTTCTTTCTTTCTTTCTTTTCTTTTATTTTATCCATCATTCGATTATATTTGTTGCGGGGAAAACATTAAGCAGGATATTTTTCTCACAATTTCAGAAATATCGCAAAAAGTGTTTGTCCGAATCTGTCTCTTTAAAAGTGTTGAAAATTCAGATGAAACTATCGCTTTCATTTAATTTCTAAAGAAATGTATTTTTCTTTTATTATAAAATGCATTGATAAATAAAACCTTACATAGGTTGTATTTTAGAAGGTGTGCTGTTTTGTTTCACGAAAAAGCTATCGGAGACATTTCCAGGCAATTTTTGTTAATATCAATTGGAGTAAATTAAACTATAGTATTTTATCCTTGTTATTAATAAACAATTAATGGGGGGTCACCAAATTCGTTTTACGGCATACATCATTAACTAAAATATACTTGGTAAAAAACATAGAACAACATAAGATTACAAGATTTTGTTGCTAGATGCGGATCCAGATTGAATTTTGAAAAGGGTGGGATCTAGACAACGTTAAAAAAGGGACACGCCACCCTCACCTCAATTCTCCCATTGACTTCGCTATGCTGTCAAATCTGCTCTCTTTTGACGTTTAATTTCCAATGCAGTGTAGAATATTACCCTTTTACGCAACTCTAAACATGTAAAGTTAAAAGACATAGTGGAACGTAAACTTTAATATCCCCAAATCTGTAAAAAAGCGTTTAAGAGGAGGTCATACATATAACTCTGTCAATCATTTTTATTTTGATCAGGACCTGTTTTTAATTAATACTAAGAATAAAACCTTTAACCAACAATTTCATTGAAATATATTGATTAATGCGCATTCAAATTATTATTTCATGTTAAAATTCCTCAAATCTGGATTTATATTTCATAGACAAGATCTTTGTTCTAGTGTGTGACTTATCAAGAGTATGGTCACCCATCATGCATCCCCCTTTTTAGATGTTTCCTTGGCGTTGCGGGATGTACCAGTATGTACTCTATACAATATTGTATATAAAATGCTTAGAAGGGTGGGCCGTTTTGTTGTCCGCGGTATATAATTATACACAACCACGCCGAGTAGGAGTGGGAGCGTTAGCACTCTAATTAAATCTAATATAGGTGGTTCCATTTGTTCTACACAGAACAGAACCCGAGATCGATGAAAAAGGGGGGGGGGCTGTTGAAAGACAAACTTTGTAACCTGCTCTCTCTTTCCTGGTACGATTGAATTTTGTGCTGTTAATATGGTCGACCAAGTATACATATCTATGGTATTATTTTGTTTTACTTGACCTAAATACGCATGCAGTTTTCGTATTTTAATGTCAGGCAACAACAATCAATTACTTAATCAATAAAGCGTGATTTTTTCTTGCATTTGTAAATGCTGAAAACTAGTTTTCAATTCAGATTTTCAATCAACTGTTTACTTTCTACAGTCAAGATGCAAATCATTTGCTTCACCTAAAATACAATTCATGTTATTCTACTGACGATTGATTGGTTGTTTAACGTTAAATAACTAATATTTCATGCATATTTAACGAACGCAGAGAGAGCAGCATGCTCTCTACAGGTTGCACTTTGTAAATACAGCTCTTTCTCAAACCACGCCTCTTTTGGGGAGATATATAATATTCATTGATAATTTGATTTGTTGACATCCTGGTTCCTAGATATGATATCTATGTTTCATCTCATAGAGACATAACTTGGGACTGTTACCAGTATAAAAATATACTATTGCGATGAAAAATGAATTCTGAAGTAGGCAAAAAGTAAAGTTTGGGGTAGTATAGAGTTTTAGTTTAAGTTTAAACTCTTGGAAGTTCAGGGCATATAAATGTTGAAAATATGCCGCACAGCCCTATATTTTGACCTTTAAATAAAACAGTTATACAATAACTAATCGAACAATTCAAATAGAGAAAAATAGTCAACGAGTGACCGAACAACACATTAATTCACGAATGCGCGTAGCGCATGAGTTAATTATCAGTGTTGTTCGGTCACGAGTTGAGTATTTTTCGATATTTGAATTCTTTGATTAGTTATTCTTTTTATTACATTGGCAAATGGCTTTTTTAATGAAATTAATGTAGAAAATGTAAGGAATTAATCTTTTTTCTACGCATTCACAATTTGTTTTGATCCGACGTTATCGACGTCTTGACAACGCCTACTGTTGTATGACGTCAGAGAGTGAAATAACCACGTTTATTTCACATGTGAAATTATCGGTTTTTATTTGACTGGGAAATCAATGTAATTCAATGCTACCAATGTAATAATAGTACATATCAACTTTCCATTCTAGGATATAATTTTTCACGGAACTTCATAGTACAAGTGTTTTAGCCGCATAAGGAGTGCCTATGGAAAATTGCATTGTCTATATTTACAGAAATGCAACCTACAAGAGGCATACTATGACCGTACATGACTGCGTACTTGTACATCTTGCACATCCAAAATGACGCCCCACTTTGGCAATGGTTTAACTGCCGTTCGGAACAAGACCAATAGTTAACATATTTCTATCCAAGGTCACCCTTGAGAGATAACTGTCAAATCGACCACACTACCATAAGACTAAAGAGACAGTTATGAATATGGAAGATACATATACATGTACATGTATTAGTTAAAACATTTACAAAAAGAATATGTGACCTTCAGACACAGTGCCCCTTCACGTGATCATATTTTCATAGTTATCTAATTTGGTATATAATTTCAAAGGTTTTATTTTTGGAACGGAACGGAAGAACGGTCGGATGCACAGACCAGTTAATATTATATCCTAATGTTAACTAAAATGATCATCTAACTTTACATAACTTAAATCAAGTTCCGTACATGTTTGTTTTAATACATGTACATATTTGCACAATTTAAACGCCATTTTTTTAGAAAAAACGAAAAGTAAAAACTTTAATTGATTCAGTGAAGTGTAATCATATTTTTTTCTTAAAGATGCGTCCTCCAAATTCCATTTGACAAAATTCTACGGAAAGGTGACAAAGTACTAGCAGAAAGATGCAACAGTGATCTGAATTTTGACCTCTGACAAAAATATCTTGAAATAAATTATAGAAGAAGCAAGTCGTGTACACCTAGTACATTCCGTTCGAAACTCATGTTTTAATTTTATAACGTATAGATCAAAATAAAAATATCATCAAAAATTCATGCCGTCTTAGTATGCTCCCCTCCGTCATCTTTCAATGTAATAGGCCGAGAAACGGTTAGATAGGTTGGTAATGTCATTTTATTGGAAATCTGTAATATAATTCAGACATACAAATCAATATGCAAAACATACAAGAACGTCACATTAACTTCAACAGGAGCGAGACCGGGTATGTCGACAGGGTAAGCGTCTCCTGCTATGGATGCATAAACCGCCATGAAAATCCCCATTCAATCAAAATGTCGCAATTAGAGAATAGGACACACGCGTCAACATGGATGGAGTAGTAACTTCGGTGAAGGCCCTTTTTTACTTCATTGTTTCAAGATAAAACGAGTTATAAGCTGATGACTTTGACATGAAAGAAAGTGAAATAAGACTATACTTGTTGTCAAGCTTTTCTCATTGAAATAGGCCAAGAATCGAGGTTTTTGTCAAATGTTGACAATAGTGTCCAGATTCAGGCCCAACAAACACGGAGCACAGCCTTCAACAATGTTTTAAAAATATACAATTCAGATAAATATGTAATTTGATAAAATAAGCATAATGTCAAACGATCTTTTATGTCGATGTATGCGTTATATGTTTCCGGTCCTAAAATCCCAAGGAAATTGACCTTTTTTCTTTGAATTTTGAGAAAAGTAGAAAGTAAGCGCTAATTCTCTCAATCGATTGATGACTTTCGAACTGCGGTATCCTACTGTTGCCTTTACTTATCACAAACTAATAAATTCATAGCGCCTCTGGCACCGCCGACGAAAAAGCACTAAATTGGCAGGCCTACATTGGTGTAAATCTCGGTTTGTACTGTCTATGTACTTCTGTAGTGTATTTTCTCTCATCTTTCTTTTATTTTTTTTATGAACATGATGTTATAGCAGAAAAACTTGCATAACTAGTTTGTTTTTTGAAAGTACCTTACATTAAATTATCGTAGAGGCAAGCCGAGGACGTAATTAAACATATTTAACATGAAAAAGTATAAGAACTGAGGTGCTTTAAATCAACACGAAAGTACTAACAGTTGTTGTCAATTTCAAAGAGCAAAGGAAGATTTTGGTATCATTTCGAATCACCTTTTCATTTTCAATCAGCATATAAGCTAACGCATACTACCTCTTGAATCCCTTTCTAACATCTGAGCTCTCGATTGATTACATACACCAATAATCGTTACGACATGAAAGCCTACACGTACGTTTTGGGCAGGAGCATATAATTTTCACCATTCCGTAAAATCACTTGTTTAAGTGTTTGCATTACTGTAACAATACATCAGTATACTATCAACTTATTGGTCGTGAATATGTTGGTGCTATCATTAAGACTTCTTATAGGATCAAAATTGAGTTGATTCATGTACGTACGAGTTGTTTGTGAATAATGGCTAAAGATTGCTTGCTCATTCGTTGTCAATCCAAATATTATAGCCACTTGATATTACATAAACGAAATGTACGACATATCCCCAAATCACAAAACTAAAAATCTTAATGATAACTTTACATGTATTCCTTAGGCAAAGGCATGATTATGCAAGGGGTTCGAAGTGATCTTCGATCCCGCAGCGATACTGGACCACGAAAACAAGAGGATATAAAGCAAATAAGGTAATGTGTGTTCTTGATCAACAGTAGTGAATTACTGTTGGGAATACTGTCTAATCGGGAATGTTCTAACCAAAATATTATGAACCAAGTATTATTAAATCCATAACGTTGAACTCTAAATAAATAGCCATAAATCTAATATTTTAACTTTAAAACTGACTTTGGTGATTAAATGAAAAAAGCTCAGGTTTCAATTGACCTTAACTTATACATCACTCCTATAATGATTTGATGAAAACCAATTAAAAGTAAAAATTAAATTTGTTTTTGTTAATCGGTTCGCTTTCTATTTGCTATTGCATCGATGTTAAAAGATTTAATTTTACGCTGTATGTGAGTCAAATTGACTCAATCTTTCTCTTTTGGCTGGTCCCTGTATTTGCAATCCTAAAAATTTTGATCGATTTGAAATTATTTGTTTTTTAATGTGTATTATAGAAATTATATTTTGTACGTTCTTTGAATTATTTCTCATAATTCTAACAGCTGAAGCTAACAACATGTTAAAATATTATTTCGTGCAAACGGTCAAAATATACAGACAGTTATATGAAACGGATAAATACTTTCTGATATGAAACTGATAATTACTTAATGAAGTAAGTGGTTTATTAGCTATCTGAACTGATAACATTTCACCATTGGCGTAGCGCTTCGGTCGCATAAAATTTAAGTTTTGTTTTTTATTTTTACATCACTTGGGCGATACCGCTTCTGATGGACTACCAATTTCCGAGGTATTACAGTAGTGAGTTTCTCGACACTGACATGATTTACAAAAGGCCTTTCTAACATTGGCAGTTTATAAATTTATAAATTATAAAGAAACTAAGATTTCAACTCGCTCAGGAATAGTTGACCTTATAATTTGGCTATAAATTTTAGTGTATCGGTTCTTATACATCCTTGGTTTTTAAATATTCGGCTTTGAGCGTTCTTGATGCAGGCACGCATGGAATTTATATGGTTTTGTTTTTATATTTTTATATCTAATGGCGTAAGATCCCTTTCGATCTTTTTAAATTTTATTTTACGTTTCTGAGTTTTGGGATTTCGTTCATAAAAAGTAGGGGATTTTCAACATTGTGCGGTAACGTTTATAACGTTCAAATGTATGGGTGGTTTGGGTTTTTTTTTTTGTGTATTAATTTTCTATTTCCTTTTTAATCATTTCAGTGAGCCAAGATGTTTTTCACGACGGCAGAAAACTTTGTAAGCTATTGAAGACTAACCCTGTTACCCATTGACGATTATCAACACACATTTAAGATTAGAGTAGCTATCAACTCATATTGAGACTTCAAACTGGATTTACAAAACATCAATCATCTATGTGGAATATAGTGTTACACTGCTTGACATTACTGCATGTGTGCTTACCTACTAAGTGTAAACACTGTAATAGTCTTAGTAACGCGTGACCTTGTGCAATGCCGAACTAAAAGTAAACAGCATCGACTGGTTGTAGAATCATGAGTTCTCATAGCTGTACATTTATACCAATATTTATTTCAGTTATGTGTATTTTTTTTTAAAAATCCGAATCAATGTTTGTATCGATATAAGCTATATCTAAATAGTTTACCACTCTGTTAAATTGATTTCCTTTAAAGTCATCATGATCATATGATATATCATATTCAAATGTGTTTTTAATCTTAAAGTGTGTTCTTTAATAACTAAGGTTCACTTGAAGAAAAAAAACTGGTACTAAAGACTTCCTTATAAAAAACATTCTTATATTTTATCAAACTATTTATAAATGTACTGCTATTTAATTAATGTTTTCCCGTACTCAAATTCTTTTACGTACAGTTACCTAAACCATGCCGTCTATCGTTAATATTAAGGCGTGATGAAAGAAAAATTAAACAAACCTGGAAAGCAAATAGTTACGGAAGCGTATTAACGCCACACATTTTTTTTTATTTATATTCCTTCCAAGGTTTGCGTTATTTAACTTTTGCGAAATAACGCTAACCTTTGCGTTATAACGCAAAACGTTGCAAAATAACGCAAACATTATTTTATCAGCTTCAACAAACCAAAAATACAATACGAGATTTTCGCCTTCAGATAATCTTATAATTCGAAATACTAATACAGAGTTGTGTAAGTTTAGTTTCTCGTACAGTGGACCAAAAGTATGGAATGCTCTACACAATACAATTGAAAAATCATCAAACACAGTTTTAGAATTTAAACATAAATACAAATCTATGTACCTTGGACATTACCATGATATTTGCACTGTAATGCCGGAAATCTATACCGAAGGAAGTGACACTAGACGATGGGACAACTAGTACAGATACAAACACTGTGTTAAATAAATGGAAATCTGTTTTGATAAATTATTGAATTGTAATAATCAGACCATTGACACTACTGTTAATATTTATAAACCAGATGATTTTTTAGATAGGGAAATATTGTTTGAAGAAGTAGTAAATGCTGTTGCTAAAAGTAAAAATGGCAAGTCACCAGGTATTGATCAGTTGTCAGTAGAATAACTTAGAAATAATGCATTGATGTTAATTTTGCAGAAGTTATTTAATATATGTTTCAAGTATGGAAAAATTCCTTCTGTATGGGGTAAAAGTATTATAACTCCAATTCCTAGGTCTTCAACTTCAGATCCACGAGATCCTTTATCATACAGGGGCATAACTTTAGCCCCCTGTGCATATAAATTATATTGCAGTATACTAAATGATAGGTTAGTGTATTGGTTAGAACAAAGAGATATGATTCATGATGAGCAAATTGGCTTCCGTAAAGGTAGAAGTACCATTGATCATCTAAGTACATTAACTTCCATTATTGAAACTAGAAAACTGAAAAAGTTATCAATATTCGCAGCTTTCATAGATTTTAAAAAAGCGTATGTTACTGTTAGTAGAAAATTATTGTTTACTAAATTGGATGATTTAGGAATTAGTACACATTTTATATGTACATTGGAAGCTATACATTCACATGTAGAATATTGTATCAAACTTAATGGCAATATGACAGACTGGTTTAGCGTTAATTCAGGTTTAAAACAAGGATGTGTATTATCGTCTGTTATGTTCAATAATTTTATTAATAGTTTAGTTGATGTAATAAAAGCACTAGACATTGGTGAAGACATTGGTGGTGAAAAAGTTGGTATACTTTTATATGCTGATGACATTGTATTTATTCCTAAAAATGAAAATAATGTACAGGCTCTATTAGATGTATGAGGTGGTTGGTGTGTTACCAATTGTATGAATGTGAACTTAGATAAAACTAAAATTGTTCATTTTAGGAACCCTTCGGTTCAACAAACATCTAAACCATTTTTGTTAAATAAAAATACAGTACAAATAGTATCTTGTTACCAATATCTGGGTCTACTTTCGACAGAATATCTCGATTATAATGAGATGGCTAAAGCTGTAGTAAGGTCTGCAAGTCGAGCTCTAAGTTTTTTTATTGTTAAAAGTAAAGCACATGGTGGTTTCAACCACTGTACCTTTACAACATTATTTGATACTCTGGTCTGGTCAATCATAAGCTATGGTAAATTCATTTAGGGCACTCGTTTTTTTTTCTTGTATAAACGCTGTCCAGAACAGAGCTATCAGGTTTGTTATTCATGTTCGCAAGTATACGCCAAATGATACTGTTAACGGTGACATGAGCTGAAGACCATCTAGTGTAAAACAATGGATATGTGTCTTTAGGCACTGGGCAAGATGTAGTCTCATGAATAATGACAGAATAAATTATTTCAAATGGTCACATAAAATTACTGTAAATAATATGAAAAACTGGTGTAATAGAGTCATGAAAAAACTTAAAGATTGTGATTTTGATTTGTATACTAGTATTAATAGTGTGCTACATAAGAATATTGTTCTATTACTTGAAAATGTTTTATTTAATAAATATATTGCAGAATGGCAAACGTAAATTTTGTCACAGAGTAATGGTAACAAGCTTCGTACTTATAAGCTATATAAATCACAATATTGTACAGAGTTATATTTGAAACAAAATATGTCTATTAAATTTAGACGTGCTTATGCAAAATTAAGATGTGGCGTTGCGCCACTTAGAATAGAAACAGGACGATATGAGAATAAACCAATACATGAAAGTTCTTGTTTTATGTGTAAAAATGAAATTGAAGATGAAAAACATGTATTTACTGTATGTCCTTTATATGCAGACCTTCGAAGGATATTGTATAGTGAAGCAGTAAAAGATTAATGATAAATTTTATAAATTGTCTATTGACGAAAAGTTTATATTTTTATTCAGAAATGAAGAACTATGTCAGATAATTGCTGAAACCTGCTTTAATATTTTATGTAGAAGAACAAATTTCTTATTTGTATATAGCTAATGATGTACTTTAAATCTATAGTTTAAAATTATGTAAAATATTGTATATAATTAATCATTTAATAGTCTCTCATAATTCTTAATATAATGGCGCTTGTATATGTTTTAGTATTTAAGCTAATGATATTTTACTGTTACTGAGTTTTAATATACAATATGTTTTATATGTATTCCAATGTTTTATGTTAAACACAATGTTTTGTATATATATTGGAATGTATAATGTTATACAAGTAGTTAGACTTTAATAAAATATTGAATTTGAATCTGCCATATAATAGGTTTTTTTTGTATTTAAATTGTACTGCATTTTTATCATTATTATTGAATTTGTATTGGGTTTTTTAATGCAATTATTAGTGTATAAGAGAGCTTTATGGAAAATTGGTGTATTCCAAATGAGTTACTCTCTCTAAATAAAGATATTTTTATTGTTTTTATTATTATTATTATAACGCAAACCTTTGCGAAATAACGCAATATTTTGCGTTTTGCGGGATATAACGTAAACCTTTGCGTTTTGCGTCATAACGCAAACTTTTTGATTTCAATCATTCATCAAGTTTTGTATATATTATGATCAAAAACTATATTTGATTTACATTTTACATAAAAAAAAATGATGGCTGCCGACGTTTATGGTCGTGTTGTATCGTCTAGTGATTTCAACAGTGAATTATCTGAGTTAAATCAAACTACAAACATTGAAAATGAGCCCGATAGTTTACAAGAAGTACACGATGATACTTTCAGGGAGTATTTACACCAAAACAGCCAAATTTTCCAAATTTTGACCGAGATAAACACCCCAAGTCGTTCATAAGTAAACAACAATGACGCCAATGACGGATACTCAGAAACTCAGATAGCCGATTTTGTACCGGATCAAGAATTTATTTCCTTGTTAGAACAAGAACTCTCTGATCTTCCAAGAGATTTATATGTATTAAAACTCATTGATTTGACCTATGATTCTGAGAATACGATAACTTGGTATCGTACTATCTTAGCGAGCAGAGCGACATCCATTCAGAGGTGTCCGACGGGAAATCTTTCTACCCGAAAAAGCACTAACAAAAGTTCCTCTACACAAAAATATGCAAAAGACTGCTACATAATATATATGTTCATCAACGGTGATGATTCGAGCATTGATGATATTTTCAGAAAAGATGACCATAAATCAATTAGTGACCAAAGTAAAACTGTGACCCAAGAATGTAATATAATCGAAATGAGGGTAACTGTACGAACTCTCCTTGAAAGAGTAGTACTATAAGAGAAAAACGAAATCGAAAATAAAAGAATTATCAAAAACATAAAAACTGAAAACGACAAATTAAAAACATAACTTTCGAGCACGAATGAGCGATTAAACCAACACCTAATCAATTGCGAACGCAAATTTACACAGTATGACGCAAACAACAAGCTAATAAACCAACAATCCAAAGCTATTGGGGAATTTGACTTTAATTCGTATATAGCTAATGTAAAACGATTTGACTCCGAACTTGAGCGACATAGTAAATTATGCTTTAGTCTACAAAAGAATATTAGCGATTTAAAATGGAATTCAAAACAATCTTATGCCTCTAAAGCAACCCCACCGAGAACCTCAGATAGTCCGCATACTACCGGTATACAGATGAACTCTAGTACGAGAAGTGGTCAGTTATCACCTATAGAAATACCAGACAGGCGATCACCCGTAACTTGTAAACAAAACATAGAAAAAAAATCTAACGGTAATAACGATAATGATAATGTTACAGGTTTGCCGTACAGGACGCACAAAACGCAAAGCGAAGAAAACAGAGACATTTCGAAATCAAAAACGGAAAACAATGACATTACTTATAAAATTCCTGTTCGACTTAAAGGATTCACTAGCAATGTGGAAACGACAAATGAAAACTTTTTTTTACGGGTGTTATAAAGAACAGAACGGCTAGGTATTACCTGTCAGGAATTGACTCAAAATCTACGCGAGCTGGAATTTTAAATTACTTAGAAAATAAAAATGTGCATGTGACATACTTACGTTTGTTTAGCACAAGGAACAATGATCGTCGGATATCTGCAAAGCTTAACATCGCAGAAAATTGTGCAGAAATTGTCGAAACAGAAAACTTTTGCCGAAAGGCGTGTTATGTAGAAAATAGTTAAGCAACCGTGAATGGAATCAACGCCTTACGGATGATGCTCAACAAGAACCAGACTCATAATAAACAATCAAAATGCAGTGTAAAATATCATTTTCCCTTGTTACCTTGGTTACCTTGGTTCTTATAATGTCTAGTCTTAAACTTTTAGCATGGAATGTAAGAGGTATTATGTCTTCTACTGTATGTTTGAGTAATTTATTAAGAAGTACTGACTGCGATGTTTGTATTATCTCTGAACATAAACCTAAAACCAGATCCTCAAATTAGTTGTCAAGTATCGAACAAGGATATAAATGTGTATGTAAAGCTGATTCCTTGCCTAATTGTTATAACGTATATCATGGTAAAGGTGGTATTGCCACCCTGTATACGAGCACACTACAATTTTCTATTAATGAAATTCATGATACGAACTCAGAAAGAATAGTTGGTGTTGAGATCAAAACCCCATCTAAGGGGTCATTATTTATTTTTGGTGCATATTTACCGTCTGATGAAAATGCCAGCTGTCCTGAGAAAGATAAATTATGTTCAAACAGGTACAAATCTGCGGAGCTAACGAAATTTGTTAAAAGATATCAATTGCTGTTTTCAGGTGGAAAAATTAAACATAAAGGGCCAGATTATCCATTTATTAATAAGACATCAATGATTAATTATATTCTTATGAATGATAGTATATATAGGCAGCTTAAGTCTTATGAAATACTTAGCGAGGATTTGGTTAGTAGTACATCCGATCATTTACCAGTTTTAGCCGAAATAGTGTTGCAAAAAAATCCTCATCAAATATTGAATTCATTTAGTAAGCTACCAGCATGGCACAAAATAACGGACGATCAAATCGAACTGTATAAACAATTTTTACACGAACCTTTACAGATTTTGATAAAGAAAATGGATTCGGATGATGCAGATATTGATACTATATACAACGATATGGTGACTATTTTACATTTTGCAGCAGATAAAACAGTCCCGAAGTGTGGATTTAATCCTTTTACTAAACCGTATTGGACATATGGTGTTAAGATTGCCCACGAGAAGGAACGATCATTACGAAAAGCCTGGGTTATTGTTGGTCGCCCTAGAGGTATGCATCACGATTCATATAGGTGATACAAGAGAGCAAAACATGAATTCCGAAATATACAACAGGCTGCGTATAAACAATATATACAACAAACTAACGATGACATTAATAAGGCAGCTGTATGCGATATCCGTCTTTTTTGGAAACTCATTAAACGTAATAAAACTGTCTCGTCCACAATTTATCCTGAAATAATCCAAGATGGCAATATATGCAACACTCCCAAAAGCATCGCTAATGCGTTTATGAACTACTTTTCGAAACGCTACCATCCTGACAGTGATGAAGTGTATGATAATGACACGAAACAACAGATTGAACTTGATTACAATAAAATATTAAAATCTTGTTATGAACAAAACGAGTATTTACCAGGTGGTATTATCCAAGAAAGTGAGGACGATGGTATAATTAAACTCTCAAAGCGTAGAAAAGCTAGTGGTCATGACAAATTCAACATGAACATCTGTTGTATGGTGGAAATACTTTAGTTCGATGCTTAACATCGTTATTCAATCTAGTTGTGAGTAAAGGTCGTGTCCCTAATGGCTGGAAACTAGGTCTTCTTGTTCCATTATGTAAAGGCAACAATAAACCTAAGACTTCACCAGACAGTTACCGACCAATCACCTTACTCCCATGTGTACTCAAAGTGTTTGAGCATGTTATTAAGTCAAGATTGTTGTTATATGTCTTTGATGAAAGTGTCTTTCCGAACCCTCAGCAGCAAGGTTTTTTGAAATATCTCGGATGTCTTACTGCATCCTTTAATTTACATGAAACTATATTTCATAATAATGAATTATTTAGTAAAATTTTTGTAGCATTCCTGGATAGCAGGAAAGCATTTGATACGGTATGGAGGCTAGGTTTAATGTACAAACTGTTTAAACTTGGTGTAAATGGCAAGCTATGGTTAATAATTAATGAATGCCATTATAATACGAAAAGTGCAGTTGTTATCAATCAATGTCAATCATATTTTTTCTCTGTATTAGAAGGTGTACGACAAGGAGATCTGCTCTCAGGTTTATTGTAAACTATTTAGTTTTTATAAATGATTTAATTTGTGATTTGGAAAAATTTAATCCAAAAACAGGTATTTTCAATATCAATTGTTGTGCACCAGCTCTTGCAGATGACATATCATGTATTGCCACATCTCCAGTATCCTTACAACGTATGCTTAATGTGTGTAACCAATATTCAAAGAAATGGCGTTTTCGTTTCAATGCAAATAAGTCGTGTATTATTCAATTTTCTGTAAATACCATAGAGATTAATGTCAATTTTCCATGGTTTATTGGTAATGAACGTATCCCGATAGCAAATAACTATCTGCACTTAGGCATAGAACTAAACTCTCGATTTAAATAAAATCAAAGAACTGAAAGTTCATGCTGGAAAGGCAGAAACGCATACTTTGCGTTGAATGGTATAAAGACAAACGCAACGAATCCGTGTGTATTACTCAAACTATATAAAACTGTGATACTACCCAGTGTTTTATACGGGTGTGTGATGTGGAATAACATGAAATCTTATGACAAAGCTACTTTAAACCGGTTTCAACATTTTATAGTGAAACATATTCTCAACTTGAAAACGTCGACTCGATCTGATATGTGCGAAAGTATTCTTGGTATTCATCCAATAACAGGATATATTGACAAAAGAAAACTCATATTCCTACAAAAACTGTGTATCTTAGACATTTTCTCTCTTTGTAAGAGAATATTTCTCACCAGATTGTTAACTTTCTTTGTAGACTCTCAAAGGAAACACTACGGATTTATTCCTGAAATCATTGACATTTTAAAACAGTATGGACTTATTAGTTACCTTCTTGACTATACTGAAGATGGAACATTCCCATCAAAACAAATTTGGAAATCTA